GGGGGGGGGATGTTGTTCATGGCTGAGGGAGGCGAAGGTGCCAGGAGGATGGATGAGAAGCGCAGAACAGAAAAGGAGGAGAGGAGGACTCAGCTCACCTGATCTGCTTCATCCCAGACCCTCCAAAATGACTAAAACAAACATGGATTTTTTTTCTTTTCTGCCCACTCTTGTGCAAACCTGCCTCTCTCTGCAGCTGAAAGTCTGTGGTGGCAGCAGCAGCTGGAGACACCCAGGGCTTCATCCTGTGATCTGAGGCAGGGCCTTTTTCAGCAGAGAGGTGACGTAGCTCCCCATTTCTTCATCCTGCACACGGAACCCAGATTCAGGGTTTCAATACAGGTGGTCCTCCACTTAACGACTAGTGTCTCCTCTCATAAAATCAGATTTAAAGCCTCACCTGGTACGTCCAGGAGACCAGCAGAAGTTTGGTGGTGGGATCTTCAGACTGGACCGTCACCTGGATCAAGATGGACTCCACCATGATGGAGGCGTCTGAGAGATGCTGGACGGAATAATCCTTCAAAGCGCTGCGGGGGGGGGGAAGGGGGTAGAAAAACACCACCAAGCTGGATCCCTCCCAGCCTTTTCACAGGACCCCCGAGAGCGTCTGTGCTTCTCACAAACCTCTGTGGCAATCAGTTCTGGGAGAAGACAATGCCCAAGATAACTGCTTCAATTAAACCCCGTTTCTCTTCTATTTTTAAGTACATTTAACCCGACATGACATTGAAGCAGGCTTCAGTGGGGATTCCTGTCCATGTGAGTTTTCCCTGTCCAACCGAAGCAAATTTCTAGTCCTCAAGGTGGGGCAGTTTGCCTGGGATCCCCAGCGGCTCCCGCCAATCCTGGCCCTGTGCAGGCTCTACCCTGAGCGCTCACCTTTTCAGGTGGTTGTAAACATGCAGGCCGGTCTCGTGTTCCTTGCGGGGGTCTTGGAAGTGGATCCGGCAGGTGAAGCGCAGCTGGTGCTCCCCCAGCCCCAATTCCTTCAGGGCTTGCTCTGAAGAAACCAAGCGGAAACTCTGTCCAGGAGCAAAGGAGAAACCTTTGGAATTCCTGCGCGGCGGCAGCAGCATCAAGGGGCAGAGGCGGCGGGGCAGGAAATCTCGCACACAGGGCTGGCAGGGCTGTCCCACCTCCCTTCCCCCTAAAAGGCAAATGGCTTCCCGCCTTCTGGAGCTGCCCGGATTCCCTTTTCCCCACACTCACGTTATCCTTGATGATCAGAGTGCCGTGCAACAGCTTCGGCTTCTTGGAGGCCGGCGAGGGGCCTAGAGAGAAAAAGGAAGAAAAATGGGAGCCTTGTGGCCTGAGCAACAGCATAAATGCCGCCAATGACCAATGGTTCCGTCCCCAGATGGTATCAATGAGGGTTTTTTTCCCGTGAAACCTACCAACGGCCAGCTCTCTCTTCAGTAGCCCGAGAGAAATATCCACCGGGATGTTAGGATTGGTGAAAATGGACACCGTTTCCCCATTGGCAGGCATGTGGCACTGGACCCCTGCAAGCGAAGAAAAGCGAGGTCTTGGTTAGCTCTGTTGAGGCTTCTGGTCTAATCCCAGGGAGGACGAGAAGAACTGAAAGTGCTGGTGAATAGCTGCCAGCCCTTGTCCACAGTCTCTATGGCTAGCAACTGCTGCAGATCCTAAAGTCTTGCCACTGCGGCTGACGTCCCCAGCCCCAAGTCAGCAGACAAAAACCAAACCCGCTCCGGCCCGTCTGCGCCCTGGCTGACACCGAGCTGGGTTCCCTCTTCTTCCCTCTGAGCCACTTCCTCTTCTGCATCAAATCCATTCCAGCTTTCCGTGTTCC